TTTTTAGAATTTATTTAAGTTACTGTTATTTATTTATACAAAAAATATATATTCAAATTTTCCTGTTTATTATTATAAAAGTTACTATGTAATTTAAGAATTTAGTTATTTAAAAAAAATATATAAAGAAATAATAAATATTTTATGATTTAATGTGTTTTTTTTCTATTTAACCGAAAAACAGACCGAACTTTGTACAACCCTATACCTCCACTATAAATCGAATATATATTGAAGAAAATAAAAATAGAGTTTTATAGATGCCGAAATCGCGATTTTAGCGGCATGAAATATTTCTCAACAAGCTAGCTAATTTTGTACTATTGCACTATTTATCGACAAGCTAGCTTGACCAAATTGACAGTTTACAATTCTAATACTTACATACTTAGCTGGCTTGTGACAGAACAGATTTGCAGGCGCGTTAATCTTTTCGCAATTCTTTGTACTTCAGTACCAATTTGTACTTCAGCACCATGTTCGGCAATGTGTCTTCCACTTGATCTTTCCATCTATTTCATGGCCTTCCCCTTCTGCGTGAACCATCACCTGGTTCGCTTATATATGCCTTTTGAGCTTCTTCCACGCTCGATACGTCTGACTATGTAGATGCCCGAGAATAGATGGTACAGCTCGTGGTTCATTCGACGGTGATATTCAACGTCGACGCAGATCGGCCCATAGATGTGTCGATGTGTTTTTCATTGATCTTTTTCAGGATGTGACGCAGTGTGAAAATCTGATCTATAGTGGATTACCGGGTCGGAAGCCGCATTCAGGAGACTAATTCCTCTATAGTTGGCACATATCTTCTTGTCTCCTTTTTGTGCACGGGACACAGGCATTCCTGCATTCCTCTAGCCAAATTGTATAAATCAGTTGGTGCATGATCATGATTAGCGTCTGACCACCGGCCTTGAATAGTTCGGCTGGTAATCCATCGCACATGCTGCTTCATTATCCCTCTGTCGATTAATTGCTATTTTGACCTCAGTTTGTCTATATGGTATTCAATATCATCCGCTATCTCTTATTGGTTCTGGGGTATCATATTCTTTTTTTACTATTTGATACCATAAGCTTCACTAAATGCTCCTTCTAGATCCCTAACACGCTATCTGTGTGTGTGACCAGTTTTCCTTGATCAGATTAAAATTTTGTTTAAATCATGATAGAGATCGCAATATTTAAGATTGAGCTGTAAAATTTTGCTAGTACTCTTTGGATGTTTGGTATTGCAAATGGGATACAGTAGTATTGATTAAGCTGCCTTTCACATAGGTGCACTTTGTATTTAGCTACCCAAAACACTCTTCTTCGGTACTTTTTCTCAGATTCCCTCTTAAATATTTCGTTCAAGCGCACAATTCTTACCTGCACATTCAAGATAACAGCTCAGAACATGTTCACTTAATCCCTCTCACTACTTAAAAATTTTGCATTTAGCTGCACAGAGAATATCAAATTAAAAAAGAAACAACACACAAGGACTATTGTTTGTAATGGAATGGAATATATGCGTTAAATACAATGGTCCTTATGTATCATTATTAGATTATCAACCATAAGTAAATCGGATTTCGAAAAATTTAACATTGTCCCATTTTTGTTTGTAATGGAATGGAATATATGCGTTAAATACAATGGTCCTTATGTATCATTATTAGATTATCAACCATAAGTAAATCGGATTTCGAAAAATTTAACATTGTCCCATTTTTTGCAGGTATGAGATTTTTGATATCTGCATTTTAGACTTTCCTGTTCAGAAATAATTTGGTATTTTTTGTTCTCATAGCTTCAAATCTCAATACAAAAACCAATAAGGAATGTAGTAAAGTCGGACTGGGCCGACTATATGATACCCTTCACCACTTTGGGATTTCAGGGAAACTTGCAGAGACCAATTTATATTACATCAGTACGTTGTGTAAATCGGCCTAGTTATGGATCTTTTCACGAAGCTTATCAACATCATTCTAGACTTAATTCAGTACCCTATACCAAAATTCGTGCAAATCGAAAGATATATAGGGACTTTGGTGCACCAATTACATAAAATCGGACGAAAATATATATAGAAGCTATATATAAATCTGAACCAATTTTCACGAAACTTAGCACACATCATTCACACGCTATGACAAATTTCGTGAAAATCGAATGATTTTCAGAGATTTTGGTGCACCAATTACCTTAAATCGGATGAAAATATATATGGGAGCTATATCTCAATCTTAACCGATTGTCACGAAACTTTGCACACATTATTCTAGTATCAATTTAGTACGCTATGTCAAATTTCATGCAAATCGAAGGATATATAGAGACTTTGGTGCACCATTTACATAAAATCGGACGAAAATATATATGGGAGCTATATCTAAATCTGAACCGATTTTCAAGAAATTTTACACACATCGTTCTAGACTTGATTCAGTACGCTATGCCAAATTTTGTGCAAATCGAAACATATAAAGGTACTTTGGTGCACCATTTACCTTAAATCGGTCCAGATTTAGATATAGCTCCCATATATATTTTCGTCCAATTTAAGGTAAATGGTGTACCAATATCTTTCGATTTGCACGAAATGTGGCATAGCGTAATGAATTATGTCTAGAATGATGTGTGTTAAGTTTCCGGAAAATCGGTTCAGATTTAGATATATCTAAATCTGCAAATCGAAAGATATTTCGTGCAAATCGAAAGATATTGGTACACCATTTACCTTAAATCGGACGAAAATATATATGGGAGCTATATCTAAATCTGGACCGATTTTTCCCAATTTCGCCCATGGGCCAAATAAGTAAGTGACCTATGCCAAATTTCATCCAAATCGGATAATAAATGCGACCTGTACTTTGTTCACAAAAATACATGGACAGACAGACGGACATGCATAAATCGACTTAAAAAGTGAATCTATGCATATTCTCGAAAGGAACCATGTGTCTATCTCGTTTCCTTTTGTCTGTTACAAACATATGCACAAAGACATAATACCCTGTACCACAGTGTGGCGAAGGGTATAAATATCAATATCGATCCGCGTTCGGATATAACCCCATACAGCTTTAGTCCCACTATTCGAATCTCGGGTATTTTTTCGTTATTACTTCTTTAACCCTTTGTGGCCCAATGTTGCCCATAGGCAACAAAATGTTTTAGAGCTAATATTTAATATACTGCTATTAGATATATATTCTTTGGATTGCATACGTCAAGGCCTGATTATGGACGACACATATCACAAGAAAAATCTAAAAAATTCAAATTTTTGGTAAAGTTATGAGCTTTTTAATATGGAGAAGAGGGCAAAAATATGTACAGTACTAATTTGTGTATACAGTCCAAATTATTTAAATCGCTTCGTATTTGAAATATACGAACTCTGCCGTCAGAATTATTTTTGATTCTTGTAAAACAGAATATAGAGAATAATTTAAAATGATTTTTTCGTCGATTTTGCATTTGGTTTTCTTGATATTGGGATTTTATTTTTCAGCAAGAATGTACTGTATCTCCCGAATGCAAGGATGTAGCTATGTCAAAATTTGTCCATATCCTATCTAGGATAGTTGCATTAAATCTGTAAACATAAAATTGTTCTATGATTACGGAAAAAAATTCGGGGCTCAAAGGGTTAAAATCAGTTTTTCATTACAATTCTTCACACCAAAATCCGCGAAGCTAACATGTCTGGAAGACATGCTAAAATCGCTATTTCGACCATAGCACTCAAAACACACATTTATTAAAATTTTTTCTAAAAAATTTGACCTACGGCGAATGTCCTTCAGGGCACTTACTACTGAATTATTGTGATAAATGAGTTTCCATTCTCCAAAATCTTGTTGCACAATGTGGAACACTCAGTTTAGAAAATGCTGAGGCGTGGCGATTTTATGGAGACTATCTCAAAACATGCAGAATATTATCCACCTCGATTGGAAAATGTGCATATGACCACAAAAATACCTGAAACGGGTAGGGGCCTTTTCATGGCCTATAAATAAGGTCACCAAGATAGCAATCGAAATCGGAAAATATCTGTTTTTTCTCAAGTCTAATGTCAAAAATTTCGACTTTGTTTACGTTTTCATAATGGAAGTCAATTCACAATAATGCATTTTGACAGCAAACTTGAGAGGTATCGATAATCAGCTGGACTCCCTTGGTGACCTTATTTATAGGCCATGGGCCTTTTCATTGAGCATTGTTTGCAAATATGTTCTTCTCTCAAAAATTAATTAATTAGTGACACGGCAACCCTGTCCTCTTTTAATGTTTAGTTCTCTTTGTGTATTCATAACAAACAGTTGTGTTTTGGTTTGTGCGTGATCGCGTTTCGTGAATCCAGTAGTTTCGGCAAGTAAATTTAATATTAAATTGTGTAATTTGAAGCAAACTATCAATAAAACAAAATAAAAGACTGTAATTCTATAAATTTCTATCAAATATTGACTAAAAAATCAAAACAAAAATGTATTTGCAATAATTGTTGTACCGACTGAGTTAAGTGTGTGTTTTGATTTTCCTTTGTCGGTCGTTCGTAAACAAACGTCAACGTGCGTCGTTCGCTGCCGCTGTTGTCTTTGCTTTAGGTTTGCCAGCATTAGCACACATTTTAAGGTAAGTTGTATTACACACAAGTTCCAGTATAATATCTTGAACTTCTGAATTATTAACTATTCGTAATGTTTAATTAAAATTACACTTAGTATTAAAAAATAATTAAGATACTTTATTTGATGTATTCTTGTTACTCTGCGCCTGAAAGTATGCAGCATTTAACATACTATATTCATTTTCGTAATATAAATTTAACCCATTAGCTACCTACAACATTACTTACATCTGCTGATTTTCCATTTGCGGCATAATTATCACTTCAATATTATTTATAATTATTACTAATATATATTTTGTTCGATAATCATGTTCACAAAATTCTTAATATACAAATATGTAACTGTCTCTTAAAACTAAAATAATTAAAGATTCATAAATTGATTAACTGTCATCAGTTTAAAATCCTTGGCATTCAAACGAATGCATTCCTTCGCCTCAAATTCTAAATGCAAAACACTACTCGCTGATGTCAACATAAAACCATTTCTCGAAAATTTATAATGTTTAATATCAGGATATTTATCCAAAATCAATTCGATATAGACAAATATTGCTGGATATTTTGTATTCAGTGTCAAACTGTAGCTATTCATTTTCACATTGACTTGTGAACTGCAAAATGAGTTGGAAATTAGAATCTGCAAAGAAAGAGAAGGAACTTAGAGGATCTTCCACTTTGGGAAATGTTAAAATAATCTTACCTTTATTTGAGGATCCTTAACAGCCTGAACACTACTGAACGAGGCGGGGAAGTAAAATGTCCGTGCCAGCGGCATGGTGTTGCGTTGCAACACAAATTCCACAAAACTATTGTAGTTGGTATATTCTCCTTGAAATATATCATCGATGGGTATAACTTTGTCATAGTGAACACCATTTGGTATCTGAAAGAGATAGGGAGATATATATAGGACTTGAAAATATATGTTTAAAAAAATCCACGTCTAAGATGAATCTTTGAAAAATATTTTAAACAATCCACGCCATGAAAAAAGTCTACAAAATTTACTCCTAATGTGAGACCTTGACATTTTTTAATCCACGCGTTCATGGCAATATAGCGGCCAAATAACCTTCGGAGAAAACTCGACAAAATTCCGAAGACAACTTTAAATAAAATAATACCCTGTACCACAGTGTGGTGAAGGGTATAAAAATCCCGCCTAAATAATAAAAATAACATAGAAAATATTTCTTAACAAATGAGATCTAGAAAAAATATCCACGCCTTTAAAAATTATCAATTATTTTTAAATCCACGCCTATGTTAAGACCCTCAATAATATTTGTTTTAAAAAGTCCACGACCTATAAGAACACTGGGAAAATAGAAAAATCCAAATAAGGGACCTTATAAAAATATTTAAAAAAAAACACGCCCTATAAGGGAACCTTAAAACATATTTCTAAAAAATCCAGAAAATCCTACGTAGAGGCCTTAAGACCCTAAAAAATTATTTTTAAAAAATCAACGCCCTATAAGGGAACCTTAAAACATATTTCAAGACGTCAATTAAGGGCACGACAATTTTCCATTGGTCCACTCATTCTGGTAGCTCCGCCACAAAATGATCAAAAATGTTCCCAAAATAAATTATACGATTTGAACCAAAATTAACACAACCTAATATTTAAATACAGCCTTATATTTGTATTATTGTGTTTGAAGTGGGGCTTATAGGCCCAACTCTTCTAGTACCTCCACCCCCTCCCCATAAAGTGTATCAATCGAATTGAGTGTTCGATTAATTGTAAACTGCAAAAAAATTGTTGAAAATTTGTAAATTCAAAATCTTAGGAATGGAATGTCCGATTTGACACATCGTAATATTTTTCTCCGAATCTCCCATAGAAGCAATACAATAGAACTATACGCTTTAAATATGTAAAATAGCTTACCATTGTAACCGGCCATGTGGTAGTTTTCGTGGGATATAGCTGAGACCATTTATAAATATTCATTGAGACTTGCAAGTCATCGGTATTTATTTCAAAGAGATCACATATCAGCGAAACATTTATAGATCGTATGCTTCTCTCATACAAAGCTGTTATGGCAATGGGTGCCAGAAATTCCTTAGACCAATAATGCAATAACTGGAAAATATCAAATGTCATTTTAATATACCGTTATAACTTCAAAAAGTCTCCAAACCCACCTTATAATTTCCATAAAAATCAATAGCTGACCATGATGGGGCAACCCATACATCATTCAATTGCCAATATAAGGCACCCATAGTTCGATGTTCCGTATCACGTAAACTACGATATAGCTCTGTTTCAGTTTTGGTGGCCATAGCCTGTGATATTTGACTGAAATATACTAAAGCCTCCAAATAGTTGGCATCCTCTGGCAGCGGCAGAGGAAAATGTATGCGAACCAATGTTGTTATGGCCATCATACCCAAGGGATGATGTTGACGATGTTCTATTAAATCGGCCAAATTATCTTCGGCAGCCACGGTTCGCTGCCATGTCTGTAGTGATGGCAAACTTTGGAAACCATATTCTGAGGCAAATCTAGGTCTGGGGTATATCGATGGATTCCAGCCATCCTTGAAAATGTCATAGAAATGAACTAAAAAAATAATTAATATTCAAATTATCGGATGTAAAGAGTGTTTAAATTACCATCTCCATAATTGGGATCCTGTGGATTAGCCGATATATAATTATCCTTGGCCGATTCTTTGCCATTAGAGGGTGATGAAACCAACGGCAATGGTCGGCTGGCATGTTCCAAAGCCTTTAATTCATGTATCACAGTGGCTAAATACAACTGCCGATATTCCGTCTTATAACGTTCTTCCAGTGTACCATACCAATTTTGTGCCAATGCCACTTCATTTTCATTATTAGTTGCAAATATGGCAATACTTGGATGGTGAGCAATTCGTTGAGCATTTTGTGTAATTTCCTTACGTACAGATGCTAAAAATGGATCTGTTACGGGATACATAGCACAAGCGAACATCATATCCTGCCATATCATGATGCCCAATGTATCGGCTAATTCATAGAAAAAGTCCGATTCATAAATACCACCACCCCAAATACGTATCATATTTTGATGGGTATCTTTGGCAGCAAGCAACAGGTGTTTGACTGGAAATATAACAAAGTAGAACAAATTTAGAAAATATATAAAAACTAGCGGGCCCGGCAAACGTTGTCTTGCCTAGCAATATTGTTGCTGTATAATTTTCGGCATTTTAGGTTTATTTTTATACCCTCCACCATCAGGTGGATTGGATTACTTTGGTATTTATCAGATCACATTTAAAGTAATGAGCGAGCCATGTTGCTATTTTTGTCTTCTAAAGTTATGGTGGATATAAGTTTATGAATTATTGAATTCGTGAAAAATAAATTTAAATTCACATATTCGGACATAATTATATTTTCCCAATATATTTATAAGACTTCCATATAACGGTAGCGAAAAATAAAGCTAGTTTTTTGTAACCTCCACTATTTAATAACAACTTTGAAACTTGCACATATATTTCTAGTACTTATAAGATATTTGATATTGAAAATGTTCAATTTTAGTTCACTTTTTAGGGCATCCACTATACAACGGTACCCCTAATATACTTATTGAGCAGAAAATCTCCCTTATTAATAATTTGAATATTGACCCAAGCATTCGGATAGCTCCCATATAACGGTAACCCTTAACATTCGGTATTTGGTTGTGTTATTTGGTAGAATTAATAGTGCTAAAGTCATCTATATTGGTCTACTCTTTGAGGTAGCTCCCTCTATACCATATAATGATATCCCCAATGTTTGGTATTTTCTCATGTGGTGCCAAATCTTCCTTCCAAAAATTTGGCGCCCCAAAGTCCCTATATATCTTCCGATTTGCACGAAATTTGGCATAACGTACTGCATTGAGCCTAAAGTGATGTCTGCCAAGTTTCCGGAAAATCGGTCCAGATTTAGATATAGCTCCCATATACAGTTTCGTCCGATTTCATGTAAATGGTGCACCAAAGTCCCTATATATCCTTCGATTTGCACGAAATTCGGCAGAAAGTACTGAATTAAGCCTAAAGTGATGTCTGCCAAGTTTCCGGAAAATCGGTCCAGATTTAGATATAGCTCCCATATACAGTTTCGTCCGATTTCATGTAAATGGTGCCAAAAGTCCCTATATATCTTTCGATTTGCACAAAATTTGGCATAACGTACTGAATTAAGCCTAGAGTGATGTCTGCCAATTTTCGAGAAAATCGGTCCAGATTTCTATATAGCTACCATATATAGTTTCGTCCGATTTAAGGTAAATGGTGCATCAAAGCCCCTATATATCTTTCGATTTGCACGAAATTTGCTATAGGGTACTGAATTAAGTCTAGAATGATGTTGCTAAGCTTTGTGAAAAGATCCATAGCTAGGCCGATTGACACAACGTATTGAAGTAATATAAATTACTCTCTGGCAAGTTTCCCTGAAATCGGTACAGATATAGATATATAACAAAAACGGGTCGTCTGTTAGGATACATATGTAGAATATACACAAAGTAGTGAAGGGTATCATATAGTCAGCCCAGTCCGATTTTACTACTTTCTGGTTTTTATTGAAATCGGTTCAGATTTAAATATAGCTCACATATATCTTCGTCCGATTTTTAGTAAATGGTACAGGAAAGAGTAAAATTTTGACCGATTGGCATGAAATTTTGCACAATGTGCTGAAGTTACGATAGCCTAATGAGTGTCAAATTTTATTGAAATCGGATCAGATTAAGATATAACTTCCATATATATTTTCCTCCGATTTTAAGTACATAATGCACCAATGGGATAAAATTAAGCCGATTGACACGAAATTTTGCACAAAAAATAATGGATTTCTTTTTCCCCAACCTAATATATTAAATCATTTCTGAAAAGAAGTTTTTTATTCAGCAGGAATCTGATATGTCAAATTATAGGCACTTCGATGAGAAAATTCGGGAAAAATTTAATAACACAGAAAAAACTTAGAGCAATGAAAATTTTTACAAAAATTGTCTATATAGCTCAAAAATTTCGGAAGCCACTACGTTGGGAAAATGCGGTTAAAAATTTTAAAATACTGGCAATGGAACTCTACCCTTATACAGTATATTGATAATTTTTTTATTAGCCTATCTAAAATTTTGCAAAAGCCTTCAAAATGCTAAAAATTGGGAGCTATACCAAAACGTCAACGAATTTTAAATATTTTCTGTGAGAAGGTTTGAGGAGTTTTAGACAGATTTTTTGTCCAATAAAATTCTTTAATATCAAATTAAAACCAAATATCGAATATTGGGTGTTCCGTTCATGGAGGCAATTATATTGCTAATTTTAATAGACACTAGAGCCAGATATGTACTCATTCTAATTGCGTTGAAATTTTGATATTCGGATGTTCCAGTTATCGGCAATCATGCCCTCCTTCAAAAAGAACAAGTTTTCTATAATTGCAAAGTCGTATGTCTACAAATACATGGATGTAGATTTAACTGTAGAAAATTTACATTGTAATTTTAAATCGGAAATGGGGAGTCCCCTAGAGATGGAGCTTGGAACTTATATGGATTTTGCAGGGAAGCTCCCATATAACGGGTAATGATTAAATAATCCCCTTATATTTATGACCATTCTATCACACTATTTCTTCATTTCCGATCAAATAAGGATTACATTATTGACTTCGTCATTAATTAAACACAACCACACCAATAAATAATGCAATCCCAGTGACAATTTAATGCAATTCATATTTTGTTTCATTTGTAGATGACAAGTGTTTTGGCCATAAAAATCACTCGTATGACAAGGTTTCGATAACACTGCACACCTATCATATATATTTATATTTGTTTATAAATTATCAGTAATGAAAATAAATCTGTTTTATGTTACGTCTTTGCCCTGTCGGTGGTCTTCCACACGTCTAAATATAGATCTAACAATCATATATAATGTTTATTTTCTTTATAATACTTACTCCGTGCACTATCACGACTATATTCCGGTAAAATATGGCTGGGTATATAGTTGCTGCCTTTCATGAAGATTTCTTTGTCATTGACTTTGAAGAGGAAGGTATTGCCGGTGCCTGTAAATAAAATGTAATATTTAGATAAGTAAAGGGACGATAAGAAAATGCCACAATTTTTTTTCAAAATGCAAGATTGTGTTGAATCATAGGGACTCACCTTCCGCAACTGGATCTTCCACCAATTCCACGGTGCGAAAACCAATGCTAATAGATTTCTGTGATGCTATTTTGTTTCTTAGACTTGTACCTTTAGCATCCAACCATGCCTTCAAGGTGAAATGTAGAGGATATAATTTTTGACCACCATAACCATTTGGCCACCAAAGCGTAATTTCCTCCTATAAACAATTTAATTAGAATAAACAGAAACAATCGATCATGACCGGCATCAATACAAAATCATAGAAGTATTTCAAACACACACACACTGACATGAATACAATGTATAGCTACTTACAATGGGAAAGGCCACTTGAAACTCAATTACAGGAGCCTTGTAACTAATTGGCTTTTTTACATGGTCACTGATAATTAGCGGATTCTTAAGAAGTTCTCTATAAATGAAGATCAATAACACACACACAACAAATTTGCATAATTTTTCAATTTATACAATGCCATATCCAATAGATAAGAAGAAGAGTAAAAAACAATGCAACTTACACAGCATAAAATGTCAGCTCAGCATAAAAATTCTGCTGTCCAGCACAATCCATAAACACTCGAATATCCATTACCCAATGTGTGGAATTTTTCCAGGTGGCCACATCAACATCACGTATCACTGCCACATCATAATATTCCAAGGCCACAGATTTCCATATACCCATCGATGGGGCCGCCAATCCCCAATCCCATGAAAAACTTGCTTGCATTTTTCGTAACATATTCATATGACATTCACCATGATAGCGGCGATTTGGACAATTTGGTGGTACATCAAGACCTTGTGATTTCAGCGCCATCGCCCTTTGACGGGCAGCATGTACCGGAGAGATGATTTCAATTTCCAGCGTATTTTCTTCCTGCAGAAATTGTGAAATTTCATAGGAGTAGCGAACAAACATATTATCTGTGCGCCCTAATAGATAGCGATTGAGGCGAATTTCGGCCACTGTGTCTATGCCGAATAGGGTTAAATTTTTATAACGTATATTCCGCAAGGCTGTGGTGTTGACTGTAAGAAAGGTAGCAGTTCATAATTTATACATTTTGACAATTATTTGTATAACCCACCCAGAAATGTATTGGTGTAGGTCCAATTATCATATGCAATCCAGCGCATGTTAACATCGTTCCAGGAATCCAAAACATCTTCATCATATAGTGCAGAATAGACTCCACTCGGTAAAATTATATCTGATACGGCGATAGCTGTTATGTGATAAATATAAATAAGTAGATGACGAGACTACTGCTTAAGGGAACTCTACTTTAAATAACTTTGTCATTCCGCAACCCGAAACTTTCTGGGTGAACCCATAAACCAGATCAAAATAAAACAATGTTTTGGTTGGGAAATTGGGCTAGAAACTTCAAATACCGAAAATTAAATGGACCCTCTGTGTGGGACTATGTATAACCTGGACCTATATTGATTTTTGTTTTGAAAATAAGATTTTCGCCAAAAACCTTGAAATCGAAAATGAGGTTGGGCATTTATATAGCGGCTACGTCAAAACATGAACTCAAACTTCTATAGATGTTCATAAATGTTAGCTAAAATTTCACGAATAAATAGAGATGGGTAAAAACGTCATTAGTTCCATCATTTTGTTACCGCCTTCGACATACCGAAAAGTTTAAACCCATATTGAAAATATTCTGTGTAGAACCTTTTTGGAATTGACCTGGAATTACTATATCGAAACAAATCCAATGAATCAAACTTTGCACAACCTATTTTCCTTACCAAATCTAGATCAAGTTCCAAGGTGAGACCCGTCGGCCATCTCCTTCAGGTACCTCCCTAAAAATGGTCAATATTTTATAAACTTATACATTTAATTTGAAGCGAATTGAATAATTAATACGATCAATATTATATTCGAAACTTCTTTTATATAAACATATACCTTATATAAGGCGAATATTAGAACATGTGTAAATTTCCGAAGACCTCTGCAAACCATATATGTGTCGGCATAGGGCGAGGGTATATCTGTCGGCAACACCTACGGACCTATTTTTTTCCTTTTTATACCCTCCACCAAACTGAGGTATAGCGTACTGAATTAAGTCCAGTTTGATGATGTTTTGTTTTATCTAAATGGTGCACCAAACATCCAATATTTTTCCGATTGAGAGATAAATTTGCACAGCGTACTAAATTAGGACCATTTTGATGTGTGCGAAGTTCTGTGGAAATCGGTTAAGATTTAGATATAGCTACCATATATAGTTTCGTCCGATTTTTGGTGAATGGTGCACCAAACTCCCAATATATGTCCGACTAAGACAAAATTTTGTACAGCCTACTGAATTAGATCCTGTTTGATATTTATGAAGTTTTGTTGAAATCGGTTCAGATTTAGATATAGCTCTCATACTTCGTTTCGTTCGATGTTAGGTAAATTGTGTAATCAGGTCCAAATTTACATACATACATAATTTTGCTAGGATTCATACATATGGAACATCAAAGAATCCAAGTCTCCACGATGTACATGGAATATTTCATAGATTTCAGAATGCTTTGTGCTATGCGATTCCATTTCAAAGTTCCTCTAAAGATGATATGTCTGTTCTATCTACAGGATATTGTATATATTAGCATCTCTTGTATGTACCCAAAGTGGTGAAGGGTATCATATAGTCGGCTTTTTTACACATTCGGTTCGTTGGAACCTTGCGGCACTGAAAAATGTGTGGGACCCTTATGAGAGGATTTTGTTCAATAAATTATCCAAATACCAATACCAAAAACTAACATTTTAAATCTATGTTGAATGTCGTAATTGCAACATACAAAACGGGTTCCGGTCATTTCCTTGAAACCATTCTGTGGAAGATATCGAAAGCAATATACCTATACAGGGAAGTACGCAGGGGGGCGGCCCCCCCGAAATGAATTTTTTCACAGTAAATTTATGTTTTCAACAGCGAATTTTTCTATTTTGTACTACTCGTGATTGTTTTCCTATTTCTTAGAGTTGCAAAATTGTATGACACAATAACAAATAACAACGACAGCAACAAAAAAAGAAAAAAACGTGTTGATTGTTACGTTTTTATCAATTTACCAATTTTCTGGACTTTGCGCATGTGACGTTGATCACTCAAATACACTTTGCTGTTTATTTAATTTATAAGGATAGGTCATGAAAAACACCAATTAAACAAATATTGGATTGGTGGAGAAAGTCATCACTATGAGTAATGCTTAAGAGGTTGATATTTATAAATTTCGAATTTTTAAAAATGCTCCTTTTTTAATTTTCTTCAACAAACCTTAAAATTCCTTACAAATTAATACTATTGGGATTTGCCATTGTAACCAAAGTTGAACTATTTAATTATTGAAACTTCTCTCAACATAGTTCGAATTGTTTCTGTTTTGAAAATTAATTCCTTCAATTAGAACTAACTGTTCCTGCGGGAATTTAGATCGCACATATTTTATCTCTATCTCATAAAGAAATAAATGTGAACTTCTCTATGCTAATCTTTATGGCGTACTTACACACACACATATATTCGCATATAAATAATGAATAATAGACAGGCGATTTAATTTTCATTTTGATAAACAAGAAAGGTAAATATACAATTTAGTTTTGAATGAAATCGTCATTCATTTTGTAGTCTGGACAAATTGATTGATAATTGCTGTTTAGGTAGTTGATATCGGTAAATATTATTGTAGATCATAATATTAATGTCTAGCCAGAAGAAAACTTTAATACAGAAAATAGGAAAGTCGAATAAACAAGGGCTATAGTAATGTGAGTCCAGTGGAATGTTTTTTTGTTTATTCGCTCGTTCCCACGCCTCTCACTCCCGCCCCTGCCGACCGAGGGGGCTACCTCCCTTTACGCAGGGAGCACGTACACACCAAAGACCGGACTAAGGCGGGTTAGTAGTGGTTTAACAACACCGGCTACAGATAGATCATCAGCCGGCAATTTGTAATAATACAACAAATATAAATTAGAATTGGATACATTAAACAGACATTGCATTAACATACATTAAACAGACAACAGTAAACAAAAGCTACAATATAAAATTTGGCAACTGCTGCTCAAATTTCAGGGTCTACTGTTTCCAAGCCCAGTAAAGAATTCTTGATAGCATGCAATGGACTACTTAGGCATATAACATTACTTATGCTATTATATATTACACATAAGGACCTCATTGGGTTGTTTAGTTCGTAATTAGTTCTCGCGATGGACAATTTCAACGGTTCAAAATTACGTGTTCTTCGAGAGGGAACATTAAAAATTATGAATCAATCAGACCACGTGTTAATTTAATAATAAATAATGCTCTTAACATAAAACGTCTTTTTTCTAGTGTTGGAAGATTAATTAAGAATAAGCGACTTTTATAAGGTGGAAGTAATTCCGATGGGTTCCAATTTAGGCCACGCAAGGCAAAGATTAAAAACTGAACTTGAATTGACTCAATTTTATCACAGTGACATTTATAAAATGGACTCCAAAGAATGCAACCATATTTTAGGACTGGGCGTACAATACTAACAAATAATCTTTTAATAACATAAGGGTCATCAAACTCTTTAGACCAGCGTTTAATGAATCCTAATAAAGACTTGGCTTTATTAACACAAGAATCGATATGAAGATGAAACCTTAGTTTAGGATCTAAGATGACGCCAAGATCAGAGAAAGAATCAACATTGTCCAGTTTGTATGACCCTATAAAGTAATCGGATTGTATTGGATGTGATCTGAATAAGGAACATTTCTTAAATTTTTTTAAATTAAGAGACATTCCGTTTGCACTGCACCAGTTAAAGAGTGAGTGTAAATCGTACTGTAAATAAACTGAATTACGTGTATTTATATGCGAAAACAGCTTGACATCATCTACATACATTAGTATTTTGGAATAAAGAATGGAACTCGGAAGATCATTTAGATAAAGAACAAACAATAACGGACCCAAATGACTTCCTTGCGGAACTCCAGAGGAAACAACAATATCTTTAGAAAAGGAATCACTGAACAAAACTTTTTGGGTGCGATCCTCTAAATAGGATGAAATCCAGCTTAAAAGAATTGACGGGAACCCCATAATATTAAGTTTATGGAGCAATAGCTTATGAACTACAGTATCGAAAGCTTTACTGAAGTCTGAATTTGAATTTGGAGTAACGGATGAAATCCTGGAATTGGGATATGTAGGTAGTTTTGAAATTTTGTACGTATGTACGAAAAGTACTAAATGGTACTATATTTGCAATTTGGATCTGGGTGAGCTGGAACAGGGAAATTTAGAAATAATATTGCCGTTGGAATGTAGGATTGGGATATAGATGTAGATTTAGACAATTGTACTTATGGGTGCTGAATGGTACTAAATTAGGATTTGGGTAAATCGGTAGGATAGATATACGAAATATTCAATCTTGATATATGCATTGTAAAGATAATAGGTTGTACAAAGTTTCTTTAAAATCGGATAGTCCGTTAGGACGTTATTATAAAATTAATTTTTTCACAATTTTGTGGGGGAGGTACCAGAACTTAACTTAAACTAAGTTTGGAAGAAATATTAAGATATGCAAAGTTTGAATGAAATCGGTTGCTACCTTCGTGCGCACCAGCCAGGCAGACAAACAGACGGACGGACGGAATGTGTAAATCGACTTCAATTTTTCTGAAATGGAGTTGGTCCAAATAAGCGTGGGGCCTAAAACCAATATTTCGTTGAGGCACATTTTCACCGGTATAAAAATGCACGCCTTTAATAGGCGTTAAACATATTCTTTACAAAATCCGGGCCTTTAATAGGCGTTGAAAAATATTCTTTACAAAATCCGGGCCTTTAATAGGCCTGGGAAAATATTCTTTAAAAAATCCACGCCTTCAATAGGCATTGCAAAATATTCTTT